CTCTCTGCTGCCCTTCCTCCCCCCCCCCCGCTTCCTTTACTAACGTACGAATTGGTGTGTCACTTTATCTATGCACATATAAACTAAAAATCGAAAGTTTCTGGAAATGTGGAAGCAAGTAGTTCCAAATTCTTATATATGAGGTCTGAGATGCTACATTTTACTGTAAACATTTTTTATATCTAAAAGTATAACCTTTTTTCTGTTTTCACAATGCATATATATGTGTGGGAACTTGTGTGAGTGATGCGTAGATACACATATATATATTTAATGCATAGCTATGTGGATATATTTCTGGGAAGACAGTCTTCTGAAATGTTAGTTCTAGCTATGTGAAATGTTAAAAACCTGAAAAAGATAACCATTCAAAGAAAAATAGTATAGTTAATAACCTTCTCACAAACATGCTTAAAAGTATTTACAAAATTATCACAACTTTTAGCAAATAGTGCCATCTTACACAACTGCTTCTAAAATAAAACTACATGTTGAGTTTAAACTGGAAATTGCATTGAGCTGCTCTATTTGTTTCACTTTTTTTTTTACAATTTGGCTTTGTCAGTCCTTTGACTTTTGTAAGAAGAATTATGACAATAATTTACTTTTGATACTTGTTTGTTTCCATTATTCAAAATATACACTGTCATAATATATTTCCAGAAGTCTTTAAACTTCATTCATATCCCTGAATAATTAATGATAGACTTGTAACAACTCATGCCATCTTTCTCTGAAAGCTCTTAACAAATTTTTATCTATAAACACACGTGATAGTTAATTGCAAGATTGTTCATTAGTGTAGGCGTATTAGAATTGTTTTAATTTGAGCAGGTACATCTTAAAATTTTCATTTGAATTTCTGGGAGAATTTTCCAGCCCCAACTACGAATCTGTTGTTGAGCCTTTAGCCTACTTCTGCAGGGTGAAATTGTCTGGCTGGTGTAGTCTGGCTGTATTCCTTTCTTTCCAGTGCCATCTACTGGTCAAAATGGAATTTGTGTAATTTTTGTTCGACCTCGCATCTTCATAGAGGTCATAGCACTTCCAGGCAGGGCTGTGCACTGTACAGTGTATGGTCAGAACTTGCTTCTCAGTCATATAATATATAACCTCAAGTGATTTATAAAAGCTTGCCAAGATCTAAATGTCATCGAGAACAACTTTCCTTTGCTTCTCTTGGTTCTCACTCTGTACCCTTATGGCTTACCCCAGAAGAGGTATCTCCTCTGTTCCTTCACAGCATCTCTCCAAGTTGACCATGGCAAATGTGTAGTATGATAGTTAAGTTATGACATCCTTTATGCTAAATACTTCTATTTCAGGCAGTTTGAGATAAGCTAGAATTGGACAAGTGAGGTTGAAGACTCTGTAGAAAAAACAACTGAAGCTGCATAGAATACATCCATATTTTTTGAAGACACAGCACAAATTGTTGTTGAATTGTCACTAAATCTATTATCTCAGGGAAATAACTGATGTATTTATGTTAAGTCATTGCAGCGTGTTGAATGTACCTCTCCAAAGTAGTCGTGGATTTTAATCTTTCTTTTGCACTGATTTCAATATCACTGTATGTGAAAGTTTCAACTTTTCTATCAGGACAAGAGATACCCTCTACAGAATCAGTTCACTGTATTATCAGCTAAACAAGATTATTATGAAGTTACAATGCTGATGAGAAATGCATAGTCTAAACTGTGATGTGTTTACACACTAATGACAGCTAATGAAAGTGACACTTCTGTGATCTTGGTATGCTGGCATGCACAATAAAAATTCAAATTAACTTTCATTAAAGTGAGCAGATGTCCCTTTGTTTCAATAGCAATTGGGAAAGAATAAACTTACAATAACTGAAATATTTATATGAAGGCCAGTCAAATATTTAAGATGGAGATGGATAAATATTCACATTAATCTGACAAAATAGTAAGTCTTTACAGTTCAGAAAGTTGATTAGAGGGTTTCCTGCGGCTTTCTAACACCTTGTCTTTCCCCAGCAGGCCAGGACATCAGAGGCATCAGAACAGGTCAATAAAAAAAGATGCTAATGTTTGACCCAGTCCCTATCAAGCAAGAAGCCATGGAGCCTGTTTCAGTGGTAAGACTTCTAAAATATTTCAGCCTTTGTGATGACTCTATAGTTTTTCCATCCTTAAATTCATACCAAGTTTCCTCCTAGCTTTGGACTAGCCTAGGAAAGGCTGTGAAGTTATATTTTGGTTTTAGGGCAATCAGATTTACATTCTAGCAAAACTTTTTCTGTAGCTTATTAATTTATTGCCCTTAAATGACCTGCCCCGTTACCTCTGCTGGTGCTCCCATCCCCAGAGCAGAGGAGAGAACATCCAAGTACTCCTCAGCCTCTGCAATGCAAATATGATCTCTCTAGCTCATGCTGCTGATGGAGGTGGGTTGAAATTAAGTTGTCAGACTTCACAGTGAAGTGGCAAGAGCCTGTGGTTTCCATGTTACACCTCTGAACTAAATGAACAGCTGCTCACCGTCCCCTTTTCTGTTTCTCTCTTGGTCTTGAAAACATGTGCCTAGGGCTAACTCTATGCTTTAAATAGCGGAAAATTAATCCTGACAAAAGAAGTGATGGCTTTTTGTTGGGTAAACCGGGTGCGTTACCTTACCATGTGAACAGATGAGAACCAGGGCAGTGGAGGAGGAATGGGGAAAAAAGGGGAAGGGGAGACTTTTCGATTGGGTTAATTTTCCGTCAGCTTGGTGTATAAGATCATCTCGGAGAAGAGTCTTAAAAGTAAGAGCAGCAGAAACATGTAGCTGGGAGGGGGACAATGGGAATTGTGATGATTTAGGCTGCCAGGGCAGCACGGCCTTAGGAAGCAGTTTCATGTATACTTCAACTGCAGGCTGCTGCTGAAAGGGAAGGTTCAGGCTTTTCTCCCTCCTTTCCAGCTTTGTGTCTCCTTTGTATGACATGAAGCAATTGTGTGGCCGCAGAATGATTTGGATCCTTTGGATCAGCTCATTGAATGGTCAGAATTGCTAACCAAAAATACCCTTATTTTTTGGTCAGATCGGGAAGCTGATCTGACTCATTCTGCAGCTGCTCAATGCTAGAGCAAGGGGAAGGGGGAGGACAAGGGAACGGCACCTCCCCTTTCAGCAGTAGCCTGCAATAAGATCAGCTTAAGTGTAACATGAAACCGCACCCTTAGAAAGGCTGATCAATTAAAAGGGTGAAGTCAGTGTGCATAAATTAGAGTGCATTAAACTCAGGCTCTGAATGGCATCTTCCAGTGAGAAGTTTGCTTCCTGTTTTATTTAAGATGTAGAATAATTGTCATCAATTTAAATGCATCTGTAAGCAGTCTGACTTCTTCAGTGTATTAATAACACGTTTTGAGAGTTAAGTTTATATGCATTTTAAAATTACAGTTTGACTTTCATGGGGTTTATTTACTTGAGAGCAATGATAGAAAAATAACTGCTCTATCACTGAGGGTGTAAGTATGACAAATTCCAATATTTGGGTCAAGAAAGAACATGAGTATTGGCCAGTCTGTCTGTCACTTCAATCATAATTACTGCATAACCTTATTAAGATTAGTGGTGATTATCTACGATTATCTAAGGATATCTAACAGTGTCCATCAAAAGCGGAAAATGGGCCAGTTTTACAATGAGAGTGTCATTACACAAATAACAGAAAATCACTATAGAGACACTGTGGGCTGTCTTTTGTACACATCTGCCTTCATCTCCCACGGAAGGTTCTGCAGTGGCTTAGGATGATGCACATGAGAGACACAAGATCCTGCCCCAGACAGCTGTGTGCTTCTGCAAGATGGACAGGGTCGGTCCCTCAGCAGGCTGACCAGGAGAGGAGTGAGCAGTCTTCCCCAGATTGGCAGATGAAGGAAAAACTGCAATGGGAAGAAAAAGGGAGCATTTCTGAGCCAAGTGCATTTCAAGACTGCAGTTCGAAATGTTGCTTATTCTATACCATGTGCTCCTTGCAGAGGTGTGGTACCTTCCATGCGTTGGACCTCTGGAGTCATCTTGGGCGTTCTTAGAACTCGGTGTCATCACTCTGACCAGCCGTTAGAGACTATTCAGAGCATTTTACCAAATCTGTATGCTTTCCTTTTCATTATTGCATAATGAAAAAAGAAAGCAGGAAAGGAAAAGCAGAAAGTCCAGAGGAAAGGACATTTTTTGAGTGAGGTTCCCCTTACGGAGATTACTCTGGTTTCCCTTGGGCTGAGGAGTGTGTATGTTTCAGCTCCTGTACACACACAGGCTGTTTAGCCCCAAGCCTTCGAGGTCCTGGTTTCCCCAGCGCTTCTTGGTCTTGTGGCTTCCTTGGAGCCCTGCTGCCACAGCCCCCCAACAGAAACTGGGGGGCTCTGGAGACGCCTCTAAAGGGAGGAATCATGGTATGGAGAGAACATAGGAAAGGATAGTAGCCACTGAGTGTGTTAGTTTTCTTGGCCTTCTTTTGAGAAGGTGGAAGGAAAGAGAAACTGTTAGTGTGATGTTTTGGAGGTGCTGAGCATAGCAGTCAGTTCACTGTGGGCTGACATAACTCAGAATTCTTAAATCAGGATTTGTTTGTATTGTACCTGTCATTCTGATAGTATCATTAGAGGCCAAACTAAATGAAGCCCCTTAGGAATTATTCGTTATTTTACCTGAACATACACTGTCCATAGGTATGAAGTCTGTCTTTAAAAAATCCCCTAGTTGGGGTGGGAGAAGGAAACAAACTACGGTTTTGACACCACTGTATTTCAGGGTGTGTGGCTGAAAGGATTAACTATACTTCTCAGATGACTGAAGCTTGCACCCACGGTATTTCATCACTCTACCAACAGCTCATGCTATTTAATGAATTGAATTACTGAACACATTTTGTGATAGTTCTTAAGAACTGGTGACAAAGTCATCTGAGTCCTACCTAAATATTTGCTGTGAGAACTTTTTAAACATTTGGACAAATACCAGTGACCATTTAGTGAAAGAAGTTGCTTTTTCATGTGTTACCATCCAACTTTGAATTGAAATAAACAGTTTTTCTCTGCCCTTCCATCAGTCCCAAAACTGCTTGTTTCACCTGTTTTTAAAGATGCTATATGCTGCATGAGGGGTTGAGGTCTTAAGTAGCGTACTGGAATACAAATTTCATGTGGTGAGAATGCTTTTTCATGTATTAGCTACTATTTGGATTAAATCCTATTCATCCTCTTACATGATAGGGATTTGACAAATAGCATAAGTAAGCAAGCAGGTTTTTCACCTGTTCTGTTTTTCCAAGAGGCTGGCTAAATTTTTAAGTTAAATTCGTAGGGTTATTATAAAAGACTTGGTGAATTGCTTCAAAATCTGTTCGCCTGTACAACAAAGAAGACGTTTCACTGTGGCAGTATAACAGAATTTAGCAAAATTATATCAGACTAGTGCTTGATAATGTCCCCTTGTAGAAGCAGCAGTCTTCTGGGTGGTGATAGGTGTGCTTGTGACATATTTGACCAGTCTTTATTCTTGATAGATTGTCAAGAGGAAAAGCATGGTGATTCTTCTTTTGGATTTATTGATATAATTGTATGAGCCACGTGGATATGACTCAAAAATAGTAGAAGTTCCTTTGATATATTTTCCAGTTCCTTTGTGGCTTCAGTGCTCTGGGTTTTATTATGGACAAACAGTAAGGAAAGGTAAATGAATTGTTTTGTAAGGCCCAAAGAGGGAAAGTGATGATATCAAACATAAAACAGAGCTAGATGGAGACTGTAAAGGAATATATGTTGAAATACAATCCTGTATCTTTATAGTGATCTACTGTAGTGACATACCATTCTGCACAGGGATGTTTAGGAAAGCAGAATTTACAGAAAAGTGCAGATTTGTTGGGTTTTTTTCAGTCCAAGTGAGACCAAATTCCTACATACGCTGTTAATTCCAACGGTAGAAATCCAAGGAAAATGTATCAGCTTAAATATTTTAGGCAAACAGAGCAATGATATCTAATTTTCCATTGTGCCACCAGAATACTTCGCGTAAGTTCTAGGACAGGTGAGAAAAGACTGCTCTTGGAGGCTATGAAGTACACTCCTGCTTCCAGTTGGTGGCATTTAGAAAGCCAAACAGTGGTAGTTGAGCTTTTTATTTGTTTGCTATTGTTAATGCTCCCGATTTACAGAGAGAGAGTGTCAAGCCTTCCTTACTCTCCCATCCATTATCCCCCAAGGGGTACTGTCCACTTCCCTGGCAAAGAAAGGGGAAGTGACTTACCAAATTTGAAAGCAGTGGTTCATATCAACCTAATGGCAATTGCTGTGTCCCAGGGTGCTAGAAACTGAAACTTTGCGATGCTAAAAGATACAAGAAGCTTAATTTCAGAACCAGGAGATAGATCTGAGTGTGACTTAACTCCAAACAAACAGGGTTTCAACCACACTTCATTGATAGTGAAGCAAAACTGTTTTCCACCAAACAGTGTCTGATTGACAGCAGATACCTCCTTTTTATTGTTCTAGCGTCCTTCTCAACTTTTTCACCCTTTTTCTTCCCAACACAGATAATTTGTCGCACCACATTTTTCTACCACAACTTTATCTGCAGTTCAGATAGAAACATAGCAGTTGAAATTGCAGGAGGAAGAAAAGTTTAGAAAAATTATTCAGCCTCCCCAAACTGCCAGAAAAAATAGCTGATGTTAAATCTGTGCCAGCTTATTTACAACAATGAAAACCTTCTATGCAAAATAATGCAAGGCATATGGGGTAAAATACCAAGATCACTTCTTAAAAACATTATTATTTTCTTCCTAATTCTTGGAAAGTATTTCTTGCTTGTCTAAATATAGTTTACTTAAGTTTTCCAGTTTGCAGTTCTCTGTGCAACATTTTAATAGTTTGGTATTTTTTCAACACACACACCTGGTGTTACTTGAAGAGTTGAAAGAGGATAACGGTTTATATAGAAAGGTCACAGCTTGGAGATGCTTCGTTCTTTAACAGACTCACTGACCGAAAACATTCCCCAAGATTTAAATTGCATAGTCTTTTTCCTTTCTAGTTTACTTTCCATTCTTGCAATGGTAGAAATGTTCGTAGGTGAACAAGTGACCTTGTGATCATCCCTGACAAACCTGCAGCACTGTGAATGCACTGATGCTTAGTGGTGGAACGTTTACTGTTTGTTGAAACTGAGTAGACTTCGTACAGTAAACCAATAACAGCAATTTTAACAGAAGTACTTAATATCTCTTACGTGTTTAAATTTTGAATTTTTGCTTATGCCCATAACTTGATCAATTTTAGTAGATACTAAATACTGTTAAATATTAAACTCTATCAATATTCAGCGGCCTTCACTTAGAATGCTAATAATTTCGTTGCTTGGCTGAACAGTGGTGGCAAATCTACAGAACTTGTTTTAGTCAGCACTGCTTGCAATAATGGCATTTTAATAGAATTCTGAGGAACCAATTACCATCGAAGATTAATGTTTTTATAGATCGAATTTGTAAGAATAGTCATAAAGAGAATAAATAAAGTTTCAGAGGTTTTAATATAATACGTACTGTTTGAAGATTAATCACCATTGTGTATGCTGCTTTATTCGAGTATTTTGTGGAACAGGTGACTCAGCTTTGTTGTTTTATCACAGTGCTATGAATGCAGCAGGAAAATTCAATATTTTCTAAAGTCACTGTTTCAAACAGTAACTGAAAAGAAGAAAAATACATTTGTGTCATTTTGCAAAAATACTTTTAGTTAACATTGACATTTAAAATCAACTAACTGTCCCTCACAGGGAAGACAGAGATAAGAAACCAGGAACATGTATTGCTAGAAGTTCTCACCCCAAGAAAAAAAAGATTGAAATGTCATGGAAATTGTTGTATAAAAATACAGTAGTTTTATACTTCTAATCTGTTTCACTTTCTACCATTTTGAACATTTTTTTTTAATTCCACTCATCAAAGCCTTTTTGGTGCCAAAGAATTCAGCAGTTTTTTAATATTAGTGTGAAACTGCTCAGCCTTAATGTGAAGCTTTACTTACCTAGAATGCAAAGATAGCATTTGATTTCAAAAAATTTACAACATCTAAAGGCTAAACAACTGTGTGGATTGCATTTTCTATGCCTATCTGCTATGTTAAACATCACGTTTCCATTTTAAGTTACCTGTTAGTAAATAACCTCAGTTTTCAACACTTTTTAAATGCAAAATTGATCTGGGTAGTTGTTTAATAGTACTATACTCTGCAATGCATGTTAATACTTCTTGGTTTACAAAAATTATTTCCACAAAAATGTGGAGATCGTCATGTAGGTCAAGGTTAGCTTTGGGGTTTATGTGATCTTGTAATGAGAACTGCTAGCTACCACTAACAGGGATATTCTTCCAACATGCCAAATGTTTATCCCTGTACTAGTTTTCCAAAATCAGACTGGCTAGTTAGCTGCTTTATTTCTCAAAAAAAAAAAGGTTTAGAATTTACCTTTTGCACTCTTGAGTTTCTCACCCATTGCTTACATAGTTCAGCTGTGTATTTTTTATTGCTTGTAGGGTTCAGATACATAATTTCTTGCTTTAGTGATGATTGTTTTCCAACTACTTCAGCAGTTGATTGGGACCCATTACTTGCAATTCTAAGTCCAGTTTAACTCCCCTCTTGCTTGACTCCATGTTCCTCAGTATATAGTTACATGCTGGGCACAGCACCATGAGTCTCCCAGGTCAGTTAAGTAATGTGGAGCTTAGTATATGAAAAGCAGTTTTTAAGGGAGAAAAAGAGTTGAATAAGCCTTGAGGATTTGTTTTCATCATCTGTTTTACATTGCTTCTGAAACAGTTAGTGAATCAGTACTTGAATAACTTCCTTTGTGTGAAATCTTAGGCTTTATTTAATTCACTTTTATTTAGAAAGTACATTAAAGTGCTTTCTTGAAACTTTTTCATTTTGCCTCAGTTTTATTAGCCGCCTTTCTTTTTCAGCAGTAATTGTGTGTGTGTTGATTTATTATTTGATTTTCTTTATTTTTTCCCCACTCCTTCCAACAGTCATACCCGTCCAATTACATGGACCAAATGAAGCCAAACAAATACAGCGTCATTTATTCTACACCAAGTATGTTGCACAATAAATTCTACTCAAACCCTGAAGGACTATCAAATGGAATCCAGATGGAGCCAGTAGACCTTACGGTGAACAAACGGAGCTCACCACCTTCAACTGGAAGTTCTCCTTCCCCCCTAAAATTTCAGACTGTGCATAGGAGAACTTCACCTGGATTGACTATGTCCTCACCCAGCTCACCTCTCAGTAAATTCACACCGTCACCCCCAGGAGTACAGCCTATCTCCATGCCAATAACAATCCCACCTGTAATGGCCGCTGCTCTTTCACGCCACGGACTGAGAAGCCCTGGAATACTCCCGGTTATACAGCCTGTTGTGGTCCAGCCGGTTCCTTTCATGTATGCTCCCCATCTTCAGCAGCCCATCATGGTGTCCACAGTTCTTGCAGATGAGATGGAAACTCCAAGTAGCATGCAAGGTTGGTGTTGTCAGAGTTTCTTTTTTACGCCGTCTCATCCTGGGAAGATAACTGTATATCCAAGCACTTTTTTGTGTGTTTTTCGCATTTTAGGAAATGGAACATCGTTCCTGTTCTTCTAAAATACGCAGGCATAGAATTTACTGTGAAAATACTTTACCACACTTACCAAGGTCATATTCTGTTCTGATTTATACCTGCATAAAGCTGTTTATCTACTGAGCTTTGGACTGATAAAAATGTTGGACTGATGAAAATGAATAGAATTGTTTTGAATCATAGTTCGTCAGGAGGTAGAGTAAAACTGGAAGATTTTGTATTTTAGCATAAATTGTTGCACTAAATACAGAGCTGGGGGATTTCTTTTGTTTTAACTATAGATTTTTAACGTATATTTTTTATTTCCATAACTCTCCATATTTTTGATGTGTTCCCTCTCCTACCCTCCCCCATACAGTGCCTGTCATTGAGTCTTACGAGAAGCCTACACTGAAGAAAACAATCAAAGTAGAGCCAGGAAGTGAACCATCGAAGACTGACTTCTATCCTGAACAAATGTCACCTCCAGTGATGACCCCATTGTCTCCCCAGCAAGTAATGTTGCAAGAGTAAGTAGCTAACAGTAGTCCCAAGATCAACAGAAGAATGAAAAGCAGTTCACTGCAGCAGTTAGCAATTTTGAGGAGTGGGAGGGAGTATTGCTGTGCTTTAGAACTTGTGATAAAATACAGACAAATATCCTGCCCCCCAACTGCCACTGTGAAATGTGATTTCAACTTTTTTTTTCCCCTCTTCAGTAATACAGGAGTTGATACGTATTTATACATCGCAACCACATAGATCTGCCATTTATATAATGCATTTGTAAAGCAATGCTAGTCCCAATCCTACAATTTACTGAAAGTAGGACTCCCAGTAAGCCGGTGATACCTGTTTACGTAAAACCAGCAGCAAACTGGAAAGATACTGTGACGACATTTCGTACTGATCTCTGTATTTGTTTCCTAAAATACCTTTCTTTAAAAAGATTCTTGTGACTTTCTTTTCTTGGAGAACCTCTTTGTCTTTTAAAAAATTTTGGCTACTTGGTGGAAAGAACCCCCTGAGGCCTACAAGTTCAGTATATATCCAGTGAAATTCCATGTTTACCTGAGGCCGTTGTTCCGTGGGTGGTTTTTTTGGCAGCTCAGGTAGTTCCTGAAGCTCGCTCTCCTCCCAGCCACTTGTTTCCACCCCAGTACCAACTCATTGTGCTGGTACAACTGTTACTGGGGCCACTGCATGAACTGGATCACAGATCTAATTGCATTTAAAACAGTCCTGTCTGCAGAAGGCAGAGCAAGGGCTAGAAAGAAGTAGTGAGGTCTGGGGCAGAAACTTTTTAATTGGAAATACTAAAAATTTCTCAGGAAGTACCTGAGGAACTATGGGCAATCTTCTATTTCCCATTTTCCCAGGGAAAATTCTGTCAACTTAACAAAATCATGGAATGGGCC